GTGTGCCCGCCCCGGGCAGCAGCACCTGCACCCCAACTCTGCCTCCCCATTCCATGCCGCCTGGTCGGCCTCCTGCACCATCTCTGCCACTGCGGAAATCCCGCACCCTTGGCGCTTCTCCCGACCCCAGGCTATCCACCCCGCTCCTCCCAGAGCCCCAGCACCTCCCTCCCAGCCTCTCCCGAAGACCCCGAGGAGCACCGCCCCCCCCGCCTTTCTCACGGGCTCGGTTGTCACGGTAACCGTTGTCTCAGTGACGGTCTCACTCAGCCCGGCCCCTGCCTCGGCCATGGCTAAGGCTGAGGAGAGGGAGGAGGGGAAGAAGGGGGAGGAGACACCCTTCCCTTTCTCTGTGTCTCTGGGGTCAAGACAATCGGTATCGGGCTCAGAATAGCAGCCAGGATCCTCCACCTTCTTTTTTCCCCCTCTTCCTGGGCCTCCGCTTCCCCACCCCGGGGAATAACCTGTCCAACCCCACTTCCGGCTCCCTGCTTCCGGGTGTGACGCACTCTGTAGTTCCCCTTTTCCTTTCCCGGGCACTAAAGGCGTCTAAGCGCACGCGTCGCCGGATTAGTTCCGCCATCACGTGACAGTGCGCAGGCGCCGCAAGAGGCAGCCACAGACTTGGCGGAAGAGGCGTCACTGCGGGTGTGGAGCGCGGGCAGCAGGCGCACGCGCACGCGCAGCAGGCGCACGCGCACGCGCAGCGGAGACGAGGCAGGGGGGCGGTCCGGAGGGGCCGCGCGGGGCTGGGGGCGGGGCCGTGGGCGGGGCCCCGGGCCCGGGCAGACCACCCCGCGGCTGCAGCCGTAAGCAGCTCGCAGTGCCTACGTGGGTTTCCCGGCTTCCCGTGGAAACGGAGCTTCGGCCCCAGAGGCAGGTGCACGCACCTGATGAGGCCCGGGCTCTGCGGGCGCTGGGGCGGGTGCCTCATGCGCCGTCTGCTCGGACTGTCCCCAGACCCCGCCTCGGAGCCCCCACCCAGTCTGCTGGCTGGCAAGACTCTGAGATACCAACTGGCGCAGCTGTGCGTCTCGTCCGTGAAACCGAAGCCCTATACTGCCCGCTGTCGGGGGTGGCGACGGGGGCGGCGGTCAGTGACCCCAGGGGCGCTCTGATAGGGGCACTGCCAGTGTCTCAGAAGCAAGGGCGGGGCGGCCGGGGGGGTCGGAGGGGCAGGCTCGGCGGAGGCCCCCCGGGAGCCGCGGTTCCCCCGGGCGGAGGCCCGCGCGCCGCTCGCGGAAGCCGGTGCTGGGGGTCAGGGGTCAGGGACGGCTGGAAGTGGGCTGGACAGACCGACGGGTCTGTTTCGGATTTCAGACCGGGGGCGACGGGCGCAGCGACGCCCGCCTGCCCTCCCCTCCACGTGGCCGAGGTGGCGGGGTGGGGGGACCAGACAGTGAGTTTGAGAGCTCTAAACCTGCAAAGGGCTAGGAACGCAAAAACACAGGCTCCCAGAGTAAATCTGAATGTTTATTGTGCCCGGACTACAGTGTTTTACCTTTTACGTTTTTGGTCAAACTGATAAAAAGCAAGATAAAACTCAGCATGTATATAGTAAAACCCATTTTAAAAAAAAAGGTATCTCTCTGAAGTGGGATTCCTTGTAATTTTTACTTTTTTCCACCTTTCTACGTATGAATCCATTACAATGAGTATATATTACATTTATCTCAACAGCAATAAAAAAAACAATTTTCAAAAAGTCCAACTGTACTAAGCACATACTGGTGTCCCTTAGTATCAGATTTTTTGTTGTGCAAGCTCCCATGTTAAAGAGATCTGGTTAAATTATTTGTTCAATCTTCCACTATCCAGATTCCTACATGTTGTTTCCCTAAACTCAGGAACCAAATAGATTTAGTGATGGAATACTTTTAATTACTTTTTCTATTAGTCTCATTCCCGGCTCCATTTTTTTGTCCTTTTTTTTTTTTCCTTTTTCCTTCTCATATATAATTTATATATATTTTTGTAGCTGATATACTTATTGAAAGAACAAATAAATCTCCAAATTCATTTAAATTCGTTTTGGAACACAGGTTATAAATAACATACATATGTCTGGCTCACATAGAAAAATATAACTTTGATAAGGAAACTCAACTAGAGTAGGTGTACTCTAGGGACAGTGTTAATCCCCACATGATAATTTCCTTCTATGGGAGCAAAATATTTCAACTAGGATGGACAAAGGATCTAAGAACCCAGTATCCCTCACCGTCCAAAGAAGAGAAGAGGGAGAATTGTTGAGTTGCCCAGAAAAAAAATCAAGAGTCTTCCTTCTCCTGGAACCTACGGAGAAAGAAAGGACTCATTATATTTAAGCACAGAGGTTCTAGCAATATTAGATAAGACATTCACTTGAAAAATCAAGGAGGAAGTTTTATTTATGACATTGTGGAAGACTAGCTCCCCTAAACAATCCTTCAAATTCAAGAGAACTAAAAATGCTGGATTAAAAATATATCTAATGAACCACAATGAGATACCAGTTCACACCCGTCAGAATGGCTAGAATGAACAAGTCAGGAAACGACAGATGTTGGCAGGGATGTGGAGAAAGGGGAACCCTCCTACGCTGTTGGTGGGAATGCAAGCTGGTGCAGCCACTCTGGAAAACAGTATGGAGGTTCTTCAAAAACTGGGAAATAGAGCTACCCTATGACCTACCAATTGCACTACTGGGTATTTACCCCAAAGATAAAAATGTAGTGAAAAGAAGGGGCACCTGCACCCCCATGTTCATAGCAGCAGTGTCCACAATAGCCAAACTGTGGAAGGAGCCGAGATGTCCATCAACAGACGAATGGATAAAGATGTGGTCCATATATACGATGGCATAGTACTCAGCCATCAGAAAGAATGAAATCTTGCCATTTGCAATGAGGTGGATGGAGCTAGAGGGTATTATGCTAAGTGAAATAAGTCAATCAGAGAAAGACAAATACCATATGATTTCACTCATATGTGGAATATAAGAAAAAAAAACAGATGAACATAGAGGAAGGGAAGGAAAAATAAAATAAGATGAAAACAGAGAGGGAGATAAACCATAAGAGACTCTCCTTTTTATTTATTCAAGAGAGAGAGAGAGAGTGAGCACAAGCGGTGGCGGAGGGACAGAGGGAGAAGCAGACTCCCCGCCAAGCAGAAAGCCCGATGCAGGACTCTATCCCAGGACCCTGAGATCATGACTTGAGCTGAACCCAGGCGCTTAACTGACTGAGCCACCCAGGCGCCCCACCATAAGAGACTCTTAACTGTAGGAGACAAACTGAGGGTTGCTGGAGGGGAGGGTGTGGGGGGATGGGGTACCCGGGTGATGGGCAGTAAGGAGGGCACGGGATTGATGAGCACTGGGTGCTACATGCAACTGATGAGTCACTGAGCTCTACCTCTGAAACTAACAGTATATGTTAACTAATTGAACTTAAATAGTAAAAATATATATAAGCATTCCAAAAATACATCTAATGAATTATAAAGTACATGCAAAAGCTATCTAGGGATACAAAGAGCCACTTGGCGTTAAAGAAAAGAAAGGAAAAAAGAAAAGGGATAAACTGGACCTTATAAAAATTAAAAACTTCTGTTCATTAAGAAGAAAAGTTAGGGGCGCCTGGGTGGCTCACTCTGTTGAGGGTCTGCCTTCGGCTCAGGTCGGGATCCTGGGGTCGTGGGATCAAGCCCTGCATCGGGCTCCCTGCTCCGCGTGGAGCCTGCTTCTCCCTCTGCCCCCCCACTTGTGCTTGCTCTCTCTCAGTAAATAAAATCTTAAAAAAAAAAAAGTTAAAATTAGTATGTCAGACTGGGGGGAAAAAACGTTAGACTCTCAAAGGTATACCTAACTACAAATATTTTTAATCTGCCAGTAGGATGGCAAGAAAGTAAAGGCAGTCTTCACATTGAGTAAAACAAGGTACAGCCAGTAATCTAGACAGCTAAGTCAGAACTGAAGCCCTTGCTACCACCGGTCCCTTGTTGTTTGGACAGCCGCATACAGGAACCAGAGACAAACCCAGAACGTCTGATGGGAGACACTCTGCATAAATCTGAGGTTCCCAAAGGGCTACCCATCTGCATAAAAGTGAACAAAAAAAAAAAATAATCCAACTCTGCAGAAGTGGAATTTGATGGTCTCACTAGGTAGAGGGAGAAAAAAGATCTCCCCTGAGAATTTCTAAGGCTAAGCTGGCCCTTACATGGATTTGCAGCCCAAATTCATACTACCTATGTGCTCCAAAAAACCTGAAGCCAAGAATTTATTTAAAGTGATTCCAGGGGCACCTGGGTGACTCGGTGAAGCGTCTGCCTTCCGCTCAGGTCATGATCTCAGGGTCCTGGGATCGAGTCCCATCCCCGCTTCTCCCTCTCCCCTACTTGTGCTCTCTCGCTCTCTCTCTCAAATAAATAAAATCATAAAATAAAATAAATTAAAACAAAACATAAAGCGATTCCAGGTTGGTGAGTGTCTTAAGGCACCTGAACAGGAAACAGAAACACTGAGAATACAGAATTCACCCCAGGACTCAAAAGAATTCCCACAGTTCAAATTCTAAAAAAAATGTGCGTTTATAGTCAAAAACCAAAAAACAAATAGAAAAAGCACCATGAGAAGCACCTGCCTGGCTCAGTGGGAAGAGCATGCAACCCTTGATCTCGGGGTCATGAGTTCAAGCCCCACATTCAATGTAGAGATTACATACATACATACATAAACTAAACAAATAACTACGAAATAAGTAAACAGAAAAAAAGTACCATGAGTCAGTCAGCAGAAACAACAAACAGCAGCATCAGACCCACAACTATGGGTATCAGAATTACCAGACACAGAATATAAATACTCATGTGTAATATACTTAAATGTAATACATATTTTAAGAATAAAAGGAGGAGGGCGCCTGGGTGGCTCAGTCCGTTAAGCATCTGACTCTTGATCTCAGCTCAGGTCTTGTTCTCAGGGTCCTGAGTTTGAGCCCCACATCGGGCTCCATGTGGAGCTTACTTTAAAAAAAGAATAAAAAGACGAGAATTTATTTTTTTTGAGATTTTATTTGACAAGAAAACGAGTGGGGAGAGGGACAGAGGCAGAGGGAGAAGCAGACTCCCCGCGGCGCAGGGAGCCCGATGCAGGGCTCGATCCCAGGGCCCCTGATCATGACCTGAGCCGAAGGCAGACGCTGCACCGACTGAGCCCCCCAGGCGCCCCCAAGCCATTCGGAGCTCCCGGGTTTCTTGAAGTGTTGCGAGACTGATTCTCACAAAAGGAAGACTACCTTGAACCAGTGGGAGATTCCAACACAACATGCTGACTACTAAGCAGTACTTGCCTTCCGTATGTTTTCATTGCCTTTTAAATATCTTTTTTTTTTTAAAGATTTTATTTATTTATTTGAGAGAGAGAATGAGATAGAGAGAGAGAGCATGAGATGGGGGAGGGTCCAAGGGAGAAGCAGACACCCTGCTGAGCAGGGAGCCCGATGCGGGACTCGATCCCGGGACTCCAGGATCATGACCTGAGCCGAAGGCAGTCGCTTAACCAACTGAGCCACCCAGGCGCCCAGCCTTTTAAATATCTTAAAAAGCTTAGTTCACTAGCTATAAAAAGATTAAGAAAAGTGTTAACTTTCAAAAATAAAAAGACCACAAACCTCCCTGTTAATTGTAGAGAGAGATGGGAGCAAAGGAAATAACTGTTTCTTGCTTCTCCCTCTCCCACTCCCCCTGCTTGTGTTCCCTCTCTCGCCGTGTCTCCCTCTGTCAAATAAATAAATAAAATTAAAAAAAAAAAAAAAGGAATGAACTGTTTCTTCAGTACAAGGAGGAAATCAGTGGAGATGTTCCGTGAGCCAGCAGGCCGGGGAAGGGCATGGGGGCAGGGCAGGGCGCGCACCTGCAGCTGGTACAGGTGTAGAAGACCGTCTGCCCCTCGTCGGCTGAGCGCATCTGTCTGGTGTGGTAGGCCATTCCCTCGTGACCGCATCGAGAGCAGCGCCTGTCAACCTGGCCGGCAGCGGGGGCGGATCAGGGAGGCCCCGTCCTGCCCCTGGCTGCCCACGGGAACCACACGCCACCCCCCTCCGCTGCCCTCCGGACCTCAGCAACCACCCCTGCGTGTCCTCACCGCCCTGCCGAGGGGGCCAGGCCCGGAGGTCATCAACTCACCACGGGTCCCTGGAACTCGGGCCCTTCCTCCACCGACACGGGCACGGCTGTCCCCGGTTTGCGGAACACGATGCAGGTGTTCACGGCCTTCCCCTCGAAGTCTGCGCGGGCGGGAAGTACGGTGGTGAGCTCCCGCACCGCTCTCCCCGCGGCGCCGCCTCCGGCGTCAGGGCCCCCCGCCGACCCCCAGGCCGCTCACCTTGCACGGGGACGCGGAAGCCGCAGCGAACACAGGTGACCGTGTCCTGCGCCCCGGGCAGCGGCAGGATGGAGCCGCAATCCGGACAGAAGTCCAGGTCCGACTGGAACCTGGAGCCGGAGCGCGCGCGGTCCATGACGCACGGGGTGCGGAGCGACGGGGAGCAGCGCCTCCGCGGACCCGACCGAGCGGCCGCCCCTGCGGTGCCCCGCGTCCCGACCCGCACACCGCGTGCGGTCCTCCAGAGCAGGCAAGAGCGCCGGCCCTACGCGGGGCGGGCTAGAGCGCCCGCCGCGCCGGCTCGTCATTGGCCGTGACGTCATAATCCGTCGCCCCGCGCTGCGGAGCGTCCGAAGGGGAGAGCCGCGCCTCTGGAGGCGGGCGGGGGGTCGGCGTGCGGCCGCTCCCGCGAGCCGCGCCGGGAGGACGGCGGGTGAGCGCGGGGCCCCTGCGGTGGGAGTCCCGCCCTGGGGCGTCCATGTTCCCGCACCGCTCACGGGGGGCGCTGGCCCTGGGAATCGGCGGGCCTTCCCGAGTCCCGGGCCCTTGGCGCCTGCGAGCTCCAGCCCTCGCCGTCCCGGGGCGGGTTCCCTCTGCGGCGGCGCGCGGCGCGGGCGAAGGCGGAGGACGAGCCAGGCGGGCGGCGCCGCGGCGGAGGGGGCTCAGGGGTTGGCAGGCGCGCAGGGAGAGGCCGGCACGCCCGACGCCCCGCAGACGAGGGGGGCCAGCCGCCGCGGGGGGCCCCCAAAGCCGCGGGCGGGTGCCCCAGGTTGACTCCGGCCGGCGCTTGCTGACCCACCCGCCGCTGGTCCCCCGGCTCCGGCGCAGCCAGCCGTGAATTCTCGTCGTCGTTCCTGACGCGGACACGTGACGCTTCCCTAAAACAAGACATGAAACATGAGGGCGAGGACCTCTGGGGAGCCGTGCCCTTTTCGTTCGTCCGGAACCTGCAACCCGGAGGAGGAACTTGTCCTGAAGGGACAGCGGCCGCATGAGTTCGCTAGTTCCGTCCCGCCCGCCCCCCGAGCCGGGCAGGGAGCTGTGCCAGGGAAGGTCCCGGAGCGGTCACTGCCCCCTGCCCTGAGAGACCGGCCGTGGTGTCCCGGGGAGCGCCTCCGCTCTGCCTTTCCCTGCAGTGATGGAAAGACGGCAGTGACGGGGTAAAACTCCGAGCAGACTGCCGGGAAAGACAGACCCCGTCATGTCACTTTACTGGGTGTCGTTGCATCTGTCTTAAGAAGGGAGGTCTGTGGTTGAGCCCACAACGTAGGCAGTTTTTATTCTGGGTGTCTCCTTTGAAAACGGAAATTGAAATTAGCTTTTTCCCCCTCGCTTTCCCTTTTCAGGTGGACAAGCATTCAGTGAGGATCCCCCGTGCATTGAATACTGCCCTAATGTGCCGGGCTATGAGGCATGGCCCTTTCTCAACACAGCCTCACAATGTGTTCAACTAGTATTTATGCAAAGTTGCAAACTGTTATATGACCTTAGGGAGTCCAAATGATGAGAGGGCAATGAAGGTACATGGGTAGGACCCAGTGTGAGGGCCCAGGACAGCCGTATAAAACAAACATGTCTATACCTCAAGGAAGACTGGCAGACGTTTCAGCAAAAAGATACAGAGTTACGAGTATACCAGAGAAAGATGCTCAAATATCATGTGATAAGGGTAGTCAACAAGTCGTTAACTTTGAGAACTTGGGATCACGTACTCTAATGTTAAGTACTCTGCTAGGTTCTGTGTACTGAGAAATAAAAGTAAGATGGTTGTATTTTTTAAATATCAAAATAGGTATACGTAGGCAAATAGGAATGTGCCTAAGAAGTCCGTGAGTTCCAATATTCGGTATCAGATTCATTCTAATAATATATTTGTAGATGTAAATTATAAGTTACCACCCTTTTAGAGTCTAAATTTCAGCAAGAAGATGTTAAAAATGATAGAGGAATATAGGTATCACAGTGTAAACCCTGAATGATTTTCCAGTGAGTTAAAAAAAAAAAAGGAAGTGTTCAGAAGAAGGTAAAAATCACTGTTACATAGAGTCCAGGGCTTGACCTGTGGAGGAGAGACCAGGTGCCATTTCCTAAGAACTTACCGCATGTCAAGCATTGTGTCAGGCTCTTTAATCTAATGCACGTTTGTTCTTTATAACCCTGAGAAGCAGACTGTGTCTTCTATGTCCATTTTATAGATGACAAAGCTGACCGAGATTGTTACTTGCCCAGAGTCGCACACCTCAGAAGCCGTGCAATTAGGATTCAGACATAGCCTTGTCAGGCTTCAAAGCCCATGCTCTTTGCCATAAACAGTACAAAAGGCCAGAGATGAAATGCCAGGCATCCCCAGTGGCTTCAACATGACCTCACAGTAAACTCAGATTAGACCAGGGATGACACATAAAAAGTTGGCAGTCTTCACTTGTGTTGCCATCAGCCTGACCCATAAAAAAAGGGTAACCACAAATTCCCACCCCAAGGGTTGAACAGGGAATGGTCTCATAATGGATTTAGGTTGAAGGATGAGCAGCAGGTATAAGGCAGGAAAGCAGAGGGGCGGGCGATCACATAACAGAATTTCAGAACCGAAGGTTGGAAGGCAGAGATGCTGTATGTGCTGATAGAGGCGGAGAGGGCCCGGACCAAGAAGCTGCAGAGAGAGGGACTGAGACCACTGGAGTCTGGAAGTCTCTCGGAGGACAGAGGAGGCTGGGAGACTGAGCAGTCTGACAGAGCCGTGCGTGCCCAGCACTCCCCCAAGGAGCCTGCGTCTTCCCTCTCCCAGGCCCAGATTCCAGATTCAGAATGGTTCCCGTTGAGTCCACGGGAGATGTGCGCGCTTAGTTTCTATGAAATGATTAGATGCTGTTGTTAAATTCCCTGGAGGAAGTAGTCCTGCCTCACAGCAGGATCTCTCTTTCTGAGGGAACATGCCCTTGGCCTTGACCAAAACAGTTGGTTTCTCTGGTTCCGTATATAAGCAGATAGGTTCTGACACCTCCCACATTCTAATCTACCTCTGCTTTTTTTTTTATCTTCCAGTTTGGCCTGGGCTAAGACGTCTACAGACCCTAGGATTGCTGTAGGTCAACAGTCCCCCCTGGAGAAAAAAGTCTTGGTAAATAATCTTCACGTGGTATGGTTTGGAACTACTATAGGAGAAGGAGCCTTAGGGTTAAAATCCTGCACAGGTGGCCCCTCCCCGGAGTGTGTCTACACTGGCAAATGTGTCTAGCCATATCCATACTTGCAAAACAGAGCTTTATGTTCAAAATGCCCAATACTATATTTTTTAAAAACTAGTTATTGATTTTGGTGGTGGGTAATTCAATTCTGAGAGCTCACAGTTTCACCTAGGAGTAATGGGAGTAAAAATCTTGACTGTTAAACACCAAAGTAAACAAGAGACCGAGTATCCTCTTAGTGTCAGTAATGAGGGGAAGCTCCTGTTTAAATGTGTTTTCTTGACGGTCACATTATAAAATTCTCTACCTCACTTTGCCAGAATCTAGGTGGCGTGCATACAACAGCGGCGAGACAGCTGATAACTCAAAAATATCAGGAGGAGCATGAAACACTGTGTAGGGAGCAAGCTCTTTCTCTTGACTATTGGCTTGCCAGAGCAGAGTCTTATTATAATAGAAGAATAATGGACACGATGAAAGAACAAGAGACAGGCTATGAAATCAAGAAGAGACCGGAGGGGAAAACGACCCACAAGCTAGAGAGACAAAAGCAGTATTACTTGGTTCCCGGGAGAGAGGTGAAACACATAGAAAGGCACATTCAGAAGGCAGGTCAGCTCAGAGAGTTGAAGACCAAAACGTGTAGGCAGTTACCACGGCCCCCTAGTGAAACAACATTCCCAAAAATTGCGCCAGGAGAGCGCAGCGTCCTGAGCGTACAAACAAGAAGGCAGGTAAGCGAGAGGGAACAGATGCAAATTAAAGGTCACCAGGATCGCATGCTTCGGGGGAGAGAACTCCTGGAGCAAAGGCTCAAGGAGAGAGTCTTGAGAAAAAGCCAGAGCCAGCCGCCAACACGGGACAGGCGCGGGAGAGCAAAGAGCGAGATAAAAGAGCTTGAAAGCGTTACTGCGTATCCCCTTTACCAGCCACGCGGTAGAAGCCGGATTAAAGTGAGTATCCTTGTGGAGAAGAATAGAGAAGAAGTGAATGCTATTATAAAACCACATCAAAGAAAATTCTTAACCATGCCACCCTTTCTGAGAAGCCAAATAGGAAAAATAAAAGACGAGTAAAGTTTCAATGCTTTTATAATAAAATCACTTGTTGTAAGCGAACTCTTGTTTTTCGTGCTCTTCCTCATCTGTGCCCAGAGTTCCGTGAATATTGTGTCTGTATCAGTTACAGGGGTATCGGATGGTTCTGGGCGTGAACCTGGTGCAGTGGTCTTAGGTACCTGGTGTTTACGCACGTGGCGAATCCTCTCTCGTGTCGGTGTTGTCAGCTGGGCGGTGGTTGGACAACGATGGTGAGTAAGGAATTGGGATCCACCGCTCCTCTGTCCCTGCTCCCAGCCTCCCAGCCATCTTGAGGAGGTTGCTGAGGCTCAGTATGTGGTCTTTGAGTTCACTACCGACCAGGCCCTACACGTCTGGCTTGCACCCTGCACTTTTGTATGTGTGAGGAACTTTAAGAGCCTCCTGTGTGCCAGGTATCGTGAGTGACAAGTCCTGCCCTTGACTAGGCCACAAGTAATGATGCAGACCACTCCACACGCAGAGCGTGGTCAGGGCTAGGATGGAGGCCTGCACCAGTGCGGTGCCCAGGAGGGACACCAAGCCCAGCCCAGCTGAGCAAGGAGGGCAGCCACAGGATTCACAGCCCACGTAAGCAACATCTTCCTGACTCACCCTCTCTCAAGCAGATGTCCCCCAACCCTCACTGATAACTCAGAAGACAAATTGAGTGAGAATTTCAATCAAGCAGAATGAAATTTACAGATTTCATTTTCAGTTCCTTTTCTTTCCAGATAGTGAAACGTTGGGAAGGTAGTGGGTGAGTAGAGAATCAGAGAAGTAGAGGCTGGACACCCTAAGGGGCACCCTCTGTAAGTCGCGTGGTCCTGACGCCCACCCCCTGGACCAGCAGTTCACTCGTGACCCCAATACCACAACATCAGCAGTGTGCAGCGGAACATTCCTTAGTGATGGGGCTCTTCTGTGTTTGCCACCTGCCCGCTCTGCCTCCCCAGCTCCCTGATTTGCCTCCCGCAGACTGTGGTCTCTGGCCTTCCATCTCTGTGTCCCAGTGGTAGAGCCTCAACCCTGCACGGCTGTATCACCCGAGGGCAAGGGGCAGGAGACGTAGAAACCCAAATCAGTAGGGCAAGGATAAGCTCTTTGAGTTGAGTGGGACATACATAAGTGTAGGGGCCCCTGGCTGGCTCTGTCACTGGAGCCTGCGACTCTTCATCTCAGGGTCCTGAGTTCGAGCCCCACATTGGGTGTCGAGATGACTTAACTGTAAGTGATTGTTTTTGTTGTTGTTGTTTGTTTTTTTGTGTGAGTAAAGCGATAGAAGTTTATTAAGTGAGATACAGAAAAAGTGCTCAGGAGGGTCCCGAGAGGGTTGCTCTTCTAAGTGATTGTTTACCATGAGGATTTTCAGTGCTGCACACATTGGTGAGGTCAGCTGCCCCCTTTCTCCTCCAAAGCTAGCAGAAAAACAACTGGTGATTGCAAGGCAGTTTCCCACCTCATATGGCCAAGAACAAAAGTCTGGAAAGAGGGCTCAGCTTGGCCAAACCCGATTCTGTCACCTCCACCTCACAAACAGTTCACCTTCATGTCCTGGACTGTGTGAGCAACACCGTAATTACCCCAAGCACCCTTAAATCCTGAGTCACACTTGATGCTTTTCTTTTGTCTCGTATTCTTTTTTTTTTCTTTAAGATTTTATTTATGTGTTTGAAAGAGAGAGAGAGCGCGCACAAGCCGGGGGAGAGAGATGTAAGCAACATCTTCACCCGCCCAGCAGGCAGAGGGAGAGGCAGACTCCACACTCCCAGGACCCCCCGGACCCCGGACCACGACCTGAGCCGAAGGCAGCTTGTGAGCCTGGAGCCTGTACGCTTTTCATGGCACTATGGTTGTGCGCCCACAAGCCTGTTCTTAGGGTCTGTTCAGGGATCTGTTGAAAGAAGGAGGGACATTTGTTAACTGCTGGCCTGGCCCCAAAGTACAAAAACAGCTGATCGCGTGCCACTGTACCCTCTTCCATCCTGTCGCGCACAAACACAGTCAGCCTTTCTTTGTTCTTGTACTTCAGTCGAGGTCCTGACAGATCTTTGTTTACTTAATTTGTTTTTTAATACCCTTCAATAAAATTTATGATTTTATGTATCCCCTTTCTAGAACCTTCTCTGGTCCCTTCCAGACAGGGTCACCCCCATGCCTTCTCAAGGTCCCTGGCAGCATCATAAACTGAAGTTTCATTCAAGTCTGAATAAAAGAGTTCCCACAGGAAGACGACAGGGAGTGAAAGTCCGCAGAGACGCTGGGCAAAAGGCGTCTGTGACACTTCTCTGCAGAACGAGAGTCCAGTTTGTCAGCCCTGAGCACTCTGTGGCTTAGCCCAGTAGAGTTTAGAATTGTGGGGTTTGTTCTGGGCTTGAACTCTGCCACATACGGCTGGCTGACGTGAGGAAGGTAAGTTAGGGTCTAGAATGAGATGATAAAACTTTCCTCACCCAGTTACTCCAGTAGGATAAATGAGGTGCTTTGTCGCATAAAAGGCCATAATATCATGAAATGTCCTTCTACTGGTTTTCTTCCCCTACTTTCATAGTGTAAGCTCCTACCCAAACAGAAGTATGGAGACCCCACAGTTCAGGTTTAAAATTGAGAAGAAAGATATGAATGAAAAGAGGTCAATTTGTAGACAAGGAGAAACGGCAGAGAGTAGAAAATTTAGATGGCTAACAAAGCAAGTTTTTCCAAGTGTTTATAAGCTTGTTTGAAATACGTGGGCACAGGGTATCATGGTGGGTGGAATCTGGGGTGAGCTAACATGGTAGAGACCATGGCAAGTCATTACTCGGGAGGCCTAGACATTCAAGGCCCATTATTGATTCATTCCGTACGTACCGAATCTTGTTAGTCACAGCCTCTGCTGCACAGGGTTAGAAGGACGGACAAGGCCGGGTCCTCTGCACTGTATGACCTTACAGTCTAGCGGTACAGATTGAGGTAGATGATCCTATGACGGAAGTAATAAAGCTAGACAAACCACGCAAGACTCTGAACTCTGGGAAACAAACTGAGGGCTGCTGGATGGGCGGGTGGGGTAACTGGGTGACCGCCATTAAGGAGGGCACGTGATGTGATGAGCACTGGGTGTCACATGCAACTGATGGTGTATTGTATGTTGGCTAACTGAATTTAAATTAAAAAAAAAAGTAATAAAGCTAATGGAAACATTCTAAGTGCTTCAGAAGCAGTGGAGAAGCACGCCGGCCCTTTGCAACAGAGCTAGAGAGCCTCTTGGAAAAGCTTCAGAGAAGAGGTGGACACTTGTGCGGAAGGACAGAGATTTGATAACAGATGAGAAAGAAGGGAAAATCGGGCCGGGAGTGGCAGGTGTGCAGGGCCTGCGAGGACTGGTTGAGGGAGAAGGGCTAGGCCCGCGCTGGAAGCCGCGAAGAGTGGCCCCCATCACCACAGGTGGTGGCAGCTTGACTCCGGCAGCTGGGAGGCGCAGAGGAACAAGAAGGGGCAAAAGGGATGGGAATTATCGAATTAGGAAAACAGCACTGAGAAGCTCCCGTTCAGTGTTTGGGGTGGTATCCCTGCCATCAACCCTTCATTAAAACAGGATTGGAGGGCGCCTGGGTGGCTCAGTCGGTTGAGCGGCTGCCTTCGGCTCAGGTCATGATCCTGGAGTCCCGGGATCGAGTCCCGCATCGGGCTCCCTGCTCGGCGGGGAGTCTGCTTCTCCCTCTGACCCTCCCCCGTCTCATGCTCTCTCTCTTTCAATCTCTCCCCCTCACAAAAAAAAAAAATCTTAAAAAAAAAAAAAAAAAACAGGATTGGAAGGTGAAATGGATCAGGAAATGCCACCCGTGGTAGCAAAGGCAGGAGACTATAGCTCTCATCCTGCCAAAACCGGTCAAAGAAGTCACCAGAAAACAGGCTGGCGCCCAAAGGAATCCGTAGGGCTGTATCTGGAAAGGTCTCCGATGGCGACCAGCCCTACCCGATGGAGCGTGCCGCTGAGAGCCCGCACAGCCCCTTCCACACACGCCCCGCGCTGCTGGTCTTGGGGGTGATCCCTTACAGACGGATGTTCCTTTGACCTTGAGCTTATGCAATAGAATACAGGCCTCCCTCCCTGCTCGCTAACAGGAGAGCATTCCTGTGGACCCGAACCTCCGCAGAAATGACATAAAGCGAAGAGTAAGCCCTGGTTTCCAAATGCACCTGGTACCCCAGTTTGTTTCTACATCAACTTACATGACTACCTGTTTTCTCTAACAGAAAAACATCCCAAGAGGGTTTTCACTCCTACGAGAGAAGCCACTGCCGTACTAACGGGGCTTCCGTAAGCCTGAAGCGGGCTACTGCAAACTCAGAAAGTGGGGACACCTGCGTTTTGTTTGGGGCGTGAGGCAGGCTGGTGGATTTAAGTCTTGAGGCAGCCTTGGATAGCTGCACTTACTTACTGGTTTCTGAGTTTATAAGCAGTTGCCGAGAGAGAGCAATTGTGAATGTTGGCATCCCTAAATATTTGGGTAAGTTTAGTGCAAGCAGCAAACTTGGTGGTTGTGCGCAAGGGTGGCTGGTTCTCCATTTGATCATGTTTTTAGAGTGATAAGTTCTGTCCGAAATGAAAGATGCCTCACAAACCATCACATGGATTGATAAGGTGTATCTCAAGAAGATAAGAAAAACGGGAAACTTGTTATTGGAGGAGCACCCCCAGCTGATAGGTTTCCTTGAAGTTTTTCCCTGTGAATGTAGCAGAAATTCCCAGGGGGTAAGGTACAAGGGGAAAATATGAAGGAGTATGGCTTACTTTCTGTGGGTAGCAGGAGGCCAGGTCATCTGTTTAGAGATAGAGGAAAAACAAGTCTTGAGTAGTGGGTTCCAAATGGACTAGGGATTCTGGAATTTCTTATTATAGACTCAAGTCAAGAGTCTGCCCTTTAGGAATAATGTTGGTCAGGGGAATGAAAGCGCGGGGAATGTAGTCAAGGGGATCGTAATAGCATTGTATGGGGACATAGGGTAGCTACACCTGTGGTGAGCACAGTGTAACCTACAGGGTTGTCAAATCACTG